TCATGAGCTGAGATTACTTTGCTTGAACAGCTTGGGTTCAAATCCTGCTATGACTTCGCTCTAAACAACAAGTCCTAAGAATGGCTCTAAGGTAATGAGCTCAGCATTTATTCTGGAAAAACAACATTGTTTTCCTACTTGTTCCATTTCCAAGTTGAGATCTGGAAAAATTGTCTATTTACTTTCCCAGTACTTTGAACAGTTTTCTAGGCCACTTTGGAAAGCTATGTCAGATGACAAAGCAGTTGCACAACAAACTCAACTACAATTTTTTTTCAGAAATCTGTTCAGCACTATTGGAAGCAGTTTTCCAAATCTGTTTAGAAAATCCTGTTATAATATTCAGATAATTTCATACAAAACCAAGTGTGTTTTAGCCCCTCTTTGTCTCATTATTTATCTGCACTTGGCAAAATACATGTTAATACAGGACAGGTAGTATTGTGTGTACTAATGGGAAGTACACTGTATAAATTATAAATTTATGCAGCAGAAATGAAGTGAGATGTTTTAATTAGCAAACAGCCTTCATTTTCAGTATCTTAGTATGAAAGACGGGTTAAAATGATGTTTACTATATAACCTAATCTTGTACCATCAGGAACATATAAGTAGTCGATAGAGCTAGAGGCCCACTACTTCTATATGTTAAGTGTCTCTAGAAAAGAATGAAACACTGATTTGTAGATAGGCACTGTGTTAACTTGCTTTCAAAATGCGAAGTGTGTTTTTTTAAAAAAAAAGAAAAAAAGAATTAGTTTACTCAAGTAAGCTTTTACAGAATTGATATCATGCCCTGCATACATGTATAAGTTTAGCACAAAAGAATGCCATGCATGCAAGGAAATGCTGCACATACAAGAGCTGACGTGTAACTAATATATAATGGCATTAGTATGAAAGTGAGTGCAGAAGTTGAGAGCAGCAAACAAACAAAGTAATTTGGAGCTCCCAGGGAGAAGTGGGTTCACCTTTCGTGGTGCAAATACAAGCTCTTGTAGTTAACAGCACTCAACAGATACACAATTCAGATTGGAAAAGAAGTCTATAAATATTTATATATATCACACGGAGATTGAAAAACGAGTTAGCTGGATGACAACAGAAGGTTCTGATTACTGGCTCACTCAGTAGTATGAAAGTAAGCCCTGCTAGCACAGTGACGTTTCAGTGACCTGATCTGTTAGTGATCTGTTACTTTAAAGTTGTTGCACCCTTTTGGGAGCCTAATTTGGAGGAAGCCTGAAAGATCCTCCAGCAAGTTGTTCCCGTACAGTCAGCCTTGGAAGCTTTTCCATAATTCATGTGCGCTTCCAGATAAGCAGGCAATACTCTTCCAGGTTCTTCTGCACAATACTCTTCCAGGTTCTTCTGCACCGCACCTGATGCTCTTTATCTTCCTGGCCCTGAGGGCAGGCGGAGGGACATAGTTCTACTTTGGAACAGTAAGTTCTGTAACGTATTTCAGCACAAAGAATTGGAAACTCTAGTTTCTAGATTGCATCTCCTCCTATGAAACCACACAAGCCCTGAGGTCCTCTGGAGAGGCCCTGCTCTCGGTCCTGCGATCGTCTCAAGTGCAACTGGTGGGAATGTGAGCGAGGGCCTTTTCAGTGGTAGCCCCACGACTCTGGAACTCCCTTCCTAAAGCGGTTAGAACAGCTCCCTCCTTGCTTTCATTGAGAAACCAAGTAAAAACCTTTCTATGGATAATAGTAATATTGCAAATACCAGATTCATCTGTGCAATGGATACATTTTAATGGACTTGACTACGGCATAGGAACGGATTATTAGTTCAGATTTTTAAAACTTTATTGAATGTTTAAACTGTGTCGGGTAATCTATTATGTCGTCACCAATTTTATAATTTTACATTACATATGTCTGTGGTGTGATTATTATGCTCCTTTTTCATAATAATAATAATAATAATAATAATGCTCTGTAATGTCTGTTGTTATACGTTTGTTCGACGCTTTGAGTCCCGATTGGGTGAACAGCAGGATAGAAATAAATAAATAAATAGTTGCGCAAGCACAACTTTTTCGGCAACAAACCCCCTCCATTGAGGTCAGAGTGGGAGTAAAACCAGCAAACCCTTTCACAGGTTGCCGATGCCAATCTGGCACCCCACCGGCTGCTCAGCTCAATGCTATGGAATTGTGGGAGGTGTAGTTTGGCGAGGAAGGCGGAAGAGACTTTGTGTAACTACATCAACCACGGTTCCATGGAATTGAGCCTTGGCAGTTTAAAGTGGTATCAAACTGTGTTACATCTATGGAGTAGATGCACTACTGGCATCATGACTAATATCAATGTTATAATACTTGCAGAGCATTGAGCCATGGCAGTTAAAAATGGGGCCAAACTGCACTGATATTATAGTGTAGGCAAACTTAGGCCCTTTGGGTGTTTTGGACTTCAGCTCCCACCATTCCTAACAGCCTCAGGCCCTTTCCTTTTCCCCCTCAGCCGCTTAAGCGGCTTAAGGAAGGGGCCCGAGGCTGTTAGGAATGGTGGGAGTTGAAGTCCAAAACACCCAAAGGGCCCAAGTTTGCCCAGGCCTAGTTTAGACACTTTACTTTTCCCTGCTTCTCTCTCAGGTGGCGCTGCTTTAAGGCCCCACACCCGCACAGACCTTGACCCGCTTGCCCTGGATCTCGAGGCTCTTCATGGTGAAGTCCACGCCGATGGTGTTGCCCTGGCGCTCGGCGAAGGCCCCGGTCTTGAAGCGCTGGACCAGGCACGTCTTGCCCACGCTGGCGTCGCCGATCAGCACCAGCTTGAAGAGGAAGTCGTAGCGCTCCTCCGGGTCCGGCCCGGCGGAGAATGGCGACGCCGCTGACGACGACGACGAAGAGGAGGAGGCCGAGGGGAGGCCCGGCATCACGACGGCGAGGGAGGGAGGCCTAGCCCGCGCGCCTCCAACCGCCGCCTCAGCAGCAGCAGCAGCATCTTCCCCGGCCGGGCCGGACCGGGGGACAGAGTGCGCATGCGCAAACCCTCCCTCGCGCGCTCACTCCCTCCCTCCCTCCCTCCCTCGCGCGCTCTGAGGAGAGAAGCGTCGCCTGTGGCAGACAGGCCCGCCTTGTCTGTGAGGGCAGGTTGGGCCTACTGCTCTCGCCAAAGAGTCACCCAACAAAGATCCACCTAGTCAAAGCCATGGTATTCCCTGTAG